CAGTCATTGGATACTGGATAGATATTGCAATATAAATCGATATTTCAAGATGGGAGGATAAAATTACGGGAGCCCTGCCTGGCCAATAGCGAGACGCAACTGCATGGTTCCCCGGGGAACGGCGATCAGGTTCATCCAAATCGGATGCTTGTCAAATTGACAAAAGCTGATGGTATCTTTAGAAAATGTTTATTTTTTACATTAAACAAAATTGAAGAAATCAGTTATTAAATAAGAATAGATCTAACAAACCACGTTAAAATATTTAGCGTTTTATTGTTATTAAAAAATGGATTTCCAAATGAACTATACTTCATGACAATGTCTAGTATTTTCGCTTTTTTATAATTAAACGTGGTAACATCGCACATTTACGTCCCAATTCCTTCCGTAGACTCAAAACCGCTGGGCAGACAGTACAGGCCTTAATAAACAAAAAGAGAAAATATAGACGCTGAGTCTGTTCCAAGATTGTATTGTGTTTCTTCTGTTTCTTTTAAATTTTTGTCGTTTCCAAAAAGCACCACCTTCCTTTTTACACATTTCATCAGCATGAACAGTTAGAAAATAAATATAAATACTGTAACGGATTCCGGGTTCACTAAAACACGAGAAAAATCTAATTACAACTGCCTTAAATTATTCATACGCTCTATTTATATAGTCGATATTGCACTCGGGATTTAGCTAAAAAAACTGCCCGACGTAAGCAAGTGACTAATTTAATTTCTTAGAATCGCGGCGCCGCGAAGTCAATACATTTTCGTAACAATATCTAATAATTTTAGTATTTTGATGGAAGTGGAAGCGAAGAGAGCAGGGTTGCCGGTGCAATGTTGGCGATGTTGCTAATTAGATTACCGGGCTGGTAAATAATTATAACTTTTTTCATAAATATTATTCGGAATAACCGTTCGATCTTTTTAATGATTTCTATTTTGATTAATTTTCTCAATTTACCGCCTCTCAAATTTTGCCGCCGGGTGCAGTTAGGATGATTTTTTTTTTTAAAGATAAAAGTCAAAATAACATTATGTTGGCAATACAATGTAAAATTGTCAATGCTTTCAATTTTTTTTATGTAGAAAAGGCTTGTGTTGCCAACATAGTTACTAAATTTTTGACATGGGGTTTTATCTTTAAAAAAAAACCAGACTTTAGCATCTCTGCACCCCCCTAAGGCCGGCGCTGAATGTATACCAAATTTGGGGAAAAGTCACTAGTCGGAATACTGTCAAAAAAATTAAAATTTAATTTATTCAGTTATATTATCCTGTGTCGACTGTCGTGTGTATTGTGGTTGGTAAGTGTAACGTTGCGCGGAGCTTGATTCAGGAAATTTTTGGAGCTAGAATTTTTGGCGCTGACTTCACACTACTCTTTCGAGTGTGATTTGTTGTCTCAATACCCAGGACACAGTCTCCAATCAACTCGGCAGAAATCCAGCTTGCCCTCGTAAAATTTTTTGGAAAACCTTTAAATTTATTGGATAAATAAAGCAAACAAAAATCTAGACTTTAAGTTTTAATAGCAAAAAAAATCTCATTATACACGACATGTTTAGGTAAGAATGTACAACAGTAATAATAATTACTAAAGCGAGATAAAAACACAGGCTTTCTACCGAAAAAAATATAAAGGCAAAATTCAAAATTCACCAAGGGGGCAGTAAAATGGAAGAATAGTTAAAAAAAAAAAACTAAATATTAGTTACAAAAATATTTTGAAGTTTGCCTTCCTGGTATGTGAAAAAAATTGACATACAAAAAACAAATTGGTAATATCCTACAGTTTTTGTTTAGAGATCTATTTACTTATTATCTATACATCGTTTGAATACAGGTGTGTTGGCTGAAAACCAAGAATTCACAGATTTTGCTTTACATTGAAGGTGCATACACTAGCGCGATATGATTATCTTTAGATTGTGATGGGATTTTGGTATATTCAGTTACCTATTAAATAATATATTTTATTAAAATGGATACTTAATTAAAATGATTAGGAAACATAAATTTCTGAGTGTAAATGAAAAAAGACTTGAACGCAATCTCGCCACTGTGTACATCTTCACTTTTAATAATTTTTAAATACACAATAAAATTCTCACAATTTTTTCTCGGTTTCAACAACTTTATCCAATAAAGAAAAAAAATATTTTTTTTTTTACAGTCTTATTTACTATTTTTACACCTACTTATGTTACAAGTGATATTTTTTTTTTTTAATTTTTCAAACATACTAAAATATTTCAAAATTTTGAATTTTTTATCACAATTACCATCGGTCCCGCACATTTCTAAAAAAATTATAATTATCTAAGGCATGATATCACAAAAATTTTGTTAACAAATTTTCCTTATCAATTGTACTAACATTTTCCTCAGTTTTGTACGAGTTAGTTTTCAAGAAAAAAAAATCAATGAAAAAGTTCCTTTAGAAATTCACATTTATTCAAAAAATATATTCCTTTTTTTCTATAAGAATATTTATGGCTTCCACAATATAAAAATAAACATATATATTTTTTTTTAATTTGAGATCGTTACTATCGATTATTTGTCCGATAAATCTAATGATCTCGATTAATTATCAGCTCCAAGCATAGTTATCGAGCATAAAAAATTAAGCAATCGTCTCTATAATTAAACCAGAAATTATAAAATCGTTTTGCTTGATGATATAATAAAAATAGTCCTTAAATATCTAAGTATATCACATTTTTACAAAATATTTATTACATATTTTAAATTGAAATTGAAATTAAGTAATATGGTAGGTATACCAGTTCGTTAAAATACTTGACTGATGCAATAATTTAAGTTTAATACAGGATGTTGAATAACTTCTAAAAAAAGCTATAATATTCCCTGTTGAATTACTTCTACATACTTTTTTAGGATTAAGACAATTGTCACATTACAATTTCCATTGAAGTGAGTACATGAATTACCAAAGATGTTAGGTATACTTTTTGGTAGGTGGCTTCTTGACTATTTTTGACACCGTGAAGATTTTCTTGAGAGTCAGTCAGGTTGAAAAATGGAAATAGTTTTTGTTTTTTCTTTATTCTTACGTTCCGGAATTTATTTATTATTCCGTTTTAAACTTATCAGGATTATACCTAATATTATAAAAAAAATTTAAGAAAGCTTTTTTCTGTTTAACGATTTAAAATAATTGTATATAGGTACTTCTTTAGTGAGTGCCTTTTTCTCAGATATTTCTCTTTATTTTATACACAATATCTGCTATGAAATGTCTTTTTTACGCTTAACTGATTTTCCTTTCGAAACGTATGCAGAAAGAAAAAACTCCAGCAATTTTTATTTTTCAACCTGACTGACTGCCAAGAAAACATTAACAGTATAATGACAATAAAGATCAAAGTTTTTAAAAAATTACACAGGTATGTCGTAAGAAGATGTTTGCTTCTTCAAGTAAATTTTATATAAAAGATATATACAAAAATTGCTTCAATTATGTCCTAGAAATTTGTTTTCAATATCACCGACTGAGTCTGGTAAAAATGGTAGGTAAAGGTTAGGTAGGTATGTACAAAATATTTTTTTTTTTCCTGGGTCTCAAGGCCTTTGATTGGGTAAGTATGGGAAGAAGCGCAAAGTACCTTATAGAAAAAAAACATGTCAAATCTCCAACGGTTAATTTATCTTATTTATAAGCAATCAATTTGAAATTGTAATGTGATGACGTGTTTTCAGCCATTCCACTAACTTGGTACTCTCCCAATTGCATATGAATATCTGAAACCCATTAGCCAAATAATAAAATTAACATATCAAATTGTTGTATTCTCAGAGATTGAATTGTTTATAGTTAAATCCCTCTGATTCCTTCGGGTCTATTTTTGCTATTTGGAAGTTAAATAATCGAAATTTCGAGCATATTAACTTTCTTATGATCTTGAACCCCTTTTAGGAAAAAAATCATAAATTGGAGTATTTCTGCGGAATAATTTTAACTGTTCACTGGTCAAATCTCTCCAGTTCATATTGATATATTACCGATCGTTACAGGAAAAAAAAAAAAAAAAAAAACGTTATGCTCCTAGCCTTTTAGTGACCACCATACAAATTGTAAATTTTGACGTTACACTTTTTAGACAAAAATTCGAGTAGGTATTTTAACAAAATTGGATATTTACCACTTAAAGTCAAATCTCTCCTCTGCATTATCTCTCTAACTTCTCACTAATTATTCTACAAATTTCAAACAATGAACTTGTAACGTTTTTAAGAAATAAATCATAAATTGGGTTTTTAGTTTTTATTAATACGGATTTCAACCGTTCATAGTCAAATTTCTCCTGCGGTTAATTATTATTATTATTATTTTTTTTTTTGATTTTTACGCGATCGATTTCAAATTTTAGTATGAAGTGGTCCTATTCAATCGAATTCGAATCGCAAATTAATACCTCAATATGTTTCGGAATAAAAATCAAATAAATTTGGAGTATTTTCCACAAAATTCGAAATTTAACTATAGTACTAGTACTACTTAACTGATAGTCAAATTTTACGTACATTGTTAAATAAAATACAAAAATCTTCTTATCATGGGCAACTTCCTATACATACTCAAATCATCCATCGGTTTAGGGTAGACCAAATAATTTTATCTAAAATTGGCACATTATCTTTGTGAGCGTCGAAAGCAGCAATCATGTTTCACTGCGTAAGTGAAAGACCTGTGGGCTCGTCATGCAAAAAAGACTTTTCTTGATCACCAATTTCAATAATTTAATTTATTTTCCTAATTTCTCACTTGTTTGTCAGCCTTTTTTGTCTTCAAACTTTATAAACTACTTTGTCGCAGACAAAAAATAAATAAAAAAATTTTAGCAGTCGTTTTTTTCCCCGTTAAACTTCCTCTAACAATTAAATTAAATTAAATTGGAACGAAAAACGTCATGCCTAATACACACTTTGTTAGTAAAATTCCTCTTTCTTGACCTAATACACACTTTGAACACTCTATTATGAACAACCGCATCTGTCCACAACCATGCCGGGTAAACTACCGAAAACAACATTTAATTTGTCGTCGAAATACAACATTGAAATCGGCGACATTTTTCTAGGGGCGCAGCACGGCGCCGCAGTGTTCGGCTGCGACATTTTCAACAAGTGCGTGTGGGGGTACTTTTGCAAAGTGACATAGGGGCATTCCCCTGAACACATGTGGGCGTCGTAACGTTTTGGGGCTATAATGAAATCGAGCCCGATTTCCACAAAATCTACGATAAAGCTGTAGCGACAACACAAGGGTTCGTTGGCCTTTTCGTCACAATTTAGACCGGAGTTCCGTCGCTTGCGACGTTTCGGTTCTGTGACAGCTGTTTCGACGTATGGAGCCTGAAAAAAAAAAGATAATTATTAGCCGAAATTAACAATGTTCGGGATGTAGCTGGCATAATGTGCGTGATTTTGGAGCTTAATGAGTCAGGACATATATATAGGAACTTTCTAGTTCTAGGAATCACTGAGTGGCTCGTTTCAATTTTCAAATTAGGCGGCACATACATTTTCAATGATTCCTTATTGGAAATTTTGTTACAATGGAGAAAAATACAGTATTGAGGTGAGGCGCATTGAAAACAAACCTCTTCCCTAGCTAAAGCATACAGATTGGCGGGTGATTTCCAAAACAAGGGCTGTGGTGTCATTGATTTTACGTTGATTAATAGGTACCTGGGGAAAACCTTGTTAACAAGTTGTAAACAAGGTTTTCCGGATATTAACCAGGGTGAAGTCAAGGGCATCACAGTCCTTGGTTGGGAATTCATTCGCTAATCTGAATTTGCCAGCCAGTCTCTTCAGCGTTTCGTCCTTTTTTGGACGCTTTAGAAAGACATAAGCTCCCCGTTGAAGCGCAATATTGAATATTTTATACAATGGATACAAGCTAGAAACAACTACTCCAGGGGCAAATACCCCTACCGGCACTGAATAATTACATTGACTGGTCTAAATTTTCGTTAACAATGTAAGTTGTAAAATGGATCAAGAAACTTCTGGTATATTTTACTAAACTGGTATGACGCAACCAAAAGGTAAAATGTTAGCTTATATATTATTTAATAATTTCAATTGAGGTGTATAAGTCCCAAAAAATGTAAGGTAATATCACAGCATATACAAAAACAATCAGCAGGCTAACTCTCACGCGCATCTTTTCTGCGCACGCCGCCATTAGGGGATACCATCCTGTCATTAAACGACAGGGACGCCGACATTTCAATTTATTTGTTTATTTCTGACGGAGGTCATAGGCGTGCGGTGTAGAGCGGAATTTCAGTTATGATTTTCAAAGTGACTTTAGTATATTCGTGTTGTCATTCATGGTGTTATCAATTAACATTCTTGTATATTTATTAATAACAATAAATTAGTAATAATAAATATTATTATATGTAAGTAATAATAAATTAGTTTATTTAAAGCCAATTCGACTCTGTGACACGAAAGAAAAAATCTAAATTATTGTTAATCAGGCCCTGTCTCGTATCCCAAAATGGCCGCTAGTGACATCCCGATCATGAATTCCTTTATTACACGGGCTGTCACCCGAGTTAGCCTGCTGATTATTTTTGTATATGCTGTGGTAATATTATAAATCCACTTCAAACATACAGACATAATTTATTAAAATGGTTTCCCTCTACAGCCGTGCGGAAAAATCAATGTTCCGTACTGATATCCGTGAGGAAAATTAGTTTTCCCGCACTAGTGTGGAAAAATCTTTCCGCACGGATATCGGTGCGGAAAAAAAATAATAATAAATTTCTACAAATTATGTAGTTAATACTTATTTCCGCACGCCTGTAGAAAAACTATTGTACCTAACAACACTGGTGGAAAATATTTTTTCTAATTTTGTCATTTAAAGTGACACTTTTCAAAACTTGTTAACGTTATCAAATGTCTTACTTTTTATCACCCAGTTGCGAAAAGTAAAATTTTAACGCTAAACTACTTGAAGTATTGTTATTATATTCTTTGAGAATGAAAATTTAATTTGTTCACTTAGGAATAATTATTGTTGATAAAGCAGATTGAGCCGATTCCTCAATGTCACTCGGTACGTCGGTCGCTCCCTGAATTGGACATCAGAATCTAATAATAATGATTCTTTTACTCTATAAAGTTTGTGTGGTTTATATAAAAACAATATTTAGATATTAATTATTATTTTTAATTTTTTAGAAAAGAGACGCAGACTTGACACCTCTATGTTTGACACTATTGCTTCTATAGAAACGAAATAACAAATAAACATCTCTGAACGCACCTGACGCTTGACGATTAGAGATAATTATTCGAAGTATGTTTTTTATATTTTTTGCTTGAATTAAAAAGGATCACATGTCATCAGGTCAAAATTAGAAAAAATATTGTGTGAAACACGTTGGGAAACACTATTTTTCGTAACTCGCTTCCTTTTGCGGAACTCGCTTCGCTCGTTCCGCAGAAATCAGTTCGTTGCGAATAATAGTGCTTTTCCTAACTGGGTGCACAAATAACTATTTTCTGCGATTGACAAGAAATATCAACATTTTTGACCGGTTGACAGGTCGCAAAACTCAATATTCTGGTATTTCAATTATTTTTCAATAGTTGCTAAGAAATCAATGAATAACAATACGGGAAACACTTTTTCGGCCTAGGCCGGGAAAGTGATTCCCGTATTGCCGAATAATTGGAACTAAAAGACAAACATTTAACAGGTATTTAACGTTTCCCCACTCGGCTGCTTCACGGCAGACTCGTGCGGAAAAATTAATTTTCTGCACTTGTTAGGTAAATAGCTATTTCCTCCGTATTAACCAACGCGAAGTCAAGGACATCACGACATAAGCCTATATCCTTCTGACGAGCTCATTAAAATACGAAATGCGTAAGTCACGAACATCACGACACAGTCCTCTTGCTTTGGAATTCCAGTCCCTCACGCGTTTCGTTCTTTTTTGGATTCGTCAGGAGATCATCGGCTTATAAGCTTCCTGTTCAAGCAATATTGAATATTTTGAATAAGCTACAAACAACTACTCCGAGGTTAAATAACCCTACTAACATTGAATTACAATAACTGGTCTAAATTTTCGATGGCAATGTGAGTTGTGAGAAGCTTTGTCCTGAAGTCAAAGACATCACAGTCCTTGTTTGGAAATTCATCCGTCAGGAGCCTATGTCCTTTTGGACTCGTCAGAAGGGTGTGACTTATAAGCTAAGATCCCTGTTCAAGCAATATTGAAGATAACTCGGTTCTCGATGACGTTTTGCCATAATCGCATTTGGCATTCATTTTCAAATTCTCTTCCTCCTCGGTTGTTGTCTGGAATGCGAATCCGACTGTGAAGGATGGTTCTCAGTTAACAAAAGTCTATTGGCAGAAATAAGAAAAGCCGGGATGAGTTCTAGTGCGCATGTGTGTGTATAGGGAGAGCTCGAAACACCCTTGCCAAAATGTATCATAATGAGTATATGTTGGTATTTCAGACGAAAAGAGCTAATCCAAACTTACCCAAACTAACTGGTCCGTCCTTTTAATATTCTTTAAAAAAATTAAAAACCCTAGAAAAACCTTTTAAAAAATGTATTGTCCCCAACGAGAATCAAATCTGGGTCCATTTGCTTCAAAATCCAAGTGTATTCCCCCATATTCCCTTTGAGCCTGGACCACGATCATGTGTAAGAGCCTGGTAGAAATCGAAGTAATAACGTGCGCAACACATTACCTAACCTATATAACGATATATTTGGTAACAGCGGATGCTCATTGGACTCTCCACATTCCTGCGAATAGACTTCTCAGTTGTCGATTCTGATTTGATATACCTAATAGAGTTGTGCCTGCGCAGAGGATAAAAAGAGTCTGGGGAGCAGATAGAAGGAGCTACGAAGGATGTCGAACGATATTCCGCGTGTGGCTAAATTCGCCAAAATGTTGCACCGATCTTAATAGGTTCCTTTAGAATCGGGTGGAATGCCCTCCGTTGTAAATGTATTGTTATAGTTTATAGTTTATAAAAGGTGATGTTTGGCGCACTTTATTACTTTGATTTCTACGATCGCTTCCAGAGGCATGATGTGGCCCATTGAGGATATGCAGATACGCGTTTCTATTCTTAGGGTTTTTATTTTTTATTTAAAGATTATTAGGACGGGTTAGTTTGAATTAGCTCAGTTTTCGTTTAAAATACCAACATACAAACACTAGCACTTATTATGAATTACAATGAAGCTCCGTCTGTCTGTTCCTCAGACTCTTATAGAGGATACGCCGGTTTTGACGGGATTGGTTTGGCTTACCTTTTTGCTGGGCGGCGAATTCGCATAATGTGTTGTGGTGTTACCGGGATATGCTCGCTGTCTCTTTTTGCTGGCGGCTCGTACGCAGATTGTATCGCGGTATTGCCGGATTGTGTTCATTGTCCCTGTTTGTTGCGGCATTGATGGCTTGGTATCAGTTGCCTTGGATTTCGGATATAAGGGGTGTTTTCTTGCGTCACAAGGTTTTGAAACAATTTTCAAAACTGATTCAAAACAGTTTCCCAATGACGTCATAACTTCACGGTACGAAAAAATGGCTTAAAAACGTGTATTGGTTTGTATTTCGAAACGGTTTGAACCACTTTTGTGTGACGTCATGGGTAAATCGCGATAATAATACTATTTTAAACCTGTTTTGAACCAGTTGCAAAAAAGTGAACGCGAGAAAACAGCTCGGGTGGCTTGGATGAATTCGGCTGGTTCGTGACAGTGTGCGGCGCATGCGCAGAATGTATCGCGTAGTTGCCGGACTGTGTTCTCTGCCTCTGCTTGTGGCGGTGTTGCCGGCGTGTATCAGTTGCAGTTCTCAGAGTCGATGCTGTGGCCTGTTTGCAGATGATGTTGGTATATAGCAGATTTTTTTTTTTGTTTCTGATGGCTACTTTGTGCTCGTGTCACCTTGCCGATATTGCTCGATTTGTTTGCCTAATAAAGGGATCTTGCCAAATGGTGTTTTATATTTGCCTTCTGGTTTCGCATATTAGTTCTTTCAATAGCGCGTGGCTGGTGTTTGCGAGGATTCTCTTTGTACAGGGTGTCCAAATTTGGATGGTTTTGATAGGAAACGTCAATTTCTGAGCGAGATACAAAAAAATGAACCCCCCACTCCGAGGCTCAAATTTTATTGAATATCGATTGGTGCAAACCGCATTTTGATATCTTCAACCGTTTAGCCGCTAGATGGCGATTCTCGATTTAGAGCAATACTGTGAAACCTTCATAACTTTTTTGTTTATGAAAATAATTGATTTCCGTAAAAACTTTCTAGAAGCACTTCTTTAGGCAGAATTCAGTGACGTTCTCAGTTTCTTTCTTTTTGGCCCCGATATTGAGTCCGATTTTTTTCAATAGGATACCCTATACCTATATTAATAGCTCATTTGAAAGCTCTGCTTTTGCTGATTTCAATCCGTTTTTCGAAAAATGTATTAATTAATGAGTCAATAAAGCCTGTTTATGTAAGCGTTATATACATGATTTTATGTACGATTGCGACTGGTTTTTGTTAGCAATTGAAAATTCAGTGAAAAAATTAAAATTCGCGTAGGTATACCTGTTTTACCTTGGCAGGTTGTCAGGACCTGTTTCATCTTGGGAGGTTGTCAGGTAGTCCAGGTAGGCAATAAAGTAGCACTTTATTTTACTAGTAAAATAAAGTGCTACTTTATTGACGCAAAACTGTTCTATAAATAGCACTTTATTGGTCAATCAGACATTCAGACATAAACATTTTTTTTTGACCGAGTCTTTCTCATCACACGAGTTTTGTAGTCATATTTAAACGCACGTGTGTACAACGTTTTATCTACAAGCGAGAAATAAGAAAATGCTGTTTCAATTTTCGTTTATTAATTGTCTTCCTTTAAAGGGGGTGTGCGCCAAAAAAACAACTTCATCTCAAAAAAAAAAAGAAAAAAAATCTAAGAATAACAGTGAAATCCGCACCCCTCTACGACAAATAATACCGCAGATATGGCTCTATGAAGGTACCGCATCTCACCCTATGACGTCACGAAAGCTCAAGCGACGCACGAGAAACTGGAGTTAATTAAATTTACATATATTTTTCCTGTGTTACCTGCAATAATCTAAACAAAAACCACTCAGGCAAGATCAAATTAACAATGCGGAGCGCGGCTGGACGAAGTTCTCGTAACGTCACGAGAGCGTCGTCCACACTTTAAAGCGGTATATCTCAGCGATGGTTTATCGTAGAATAACGAGGTTTGAACAGTTATTCTTAGATTTTTTTACACTAACAGCTGTATGCAACATCCTCTTTTAACTTAAAAGCGCTTTTTGAAACTGGCACCTTCAAAAATTTGTATGGTTTAGAATACACATTTTTAAAAGTGACCAGTTTTAAAAAGCGCTTTTAACTTAAAAGAGGATGTTGCATACAGCCATAAAACTTTAATTTTTGGCGCACACCCCCTTTAAAACCCTTAACTATGACATTTGTCACATTTTTTAAATTCTACTTGTGGGGATTTGTTACGTGGTTCAGACTTTCTGGAGGCTTCAGACTATGGTTAAATACGTTATGAATGATTATTACATCTTTTCCGACAGTATTTTAGAAACCTTCAATTGTGTTTTTAGAATAGTCATTTGTATTAAAGATTTTTTATTCCATTATTCATATGGGGATTTCTCCAATACAAATGACTATTCTAAAATACAATTGAAGCTTTCTAAAATACTGTCTGTCAGAAAAGGTGTACTGGGAATTTGTATCAAAAATTTAATACTTATATGTTTTGATGTACGACCCACATTGTAAGCGAGAGCTTATTACGTATTTAATTTTTAATGAAAAACGTCACTTTTTAAAATCCATCCATTCGAAAAAATTATAAATATAATCTATTGTGAGAAATTGAAAGCATATCGAATACATAAAAAAAAAATCTAGGTCGTACATAAAATGTTGCATATGACACGCACGGTAACGCTCATTACACCACTCGTGTGATTACCACGACTCGGTCTACGTCCTCGTCGTCGCAATATTCCCCACTTGTTACTGTAATGAAGCTTATACCGTACTAGTAATATAAATAAATATTATAGATATGTGTAGTTGTTTTTCACTATTACAAAACTAGTTGTGTTATAGATTCATAACACGACTATAGTCCGCAGCACTTAAGATAAAGGGCGACGCCTGAAGGAAGACAGGAAGCAAATGCTTGGCAAACTCACTAGAACGATCGAGAAATACTAAATAGCCTGTTGACCATGCTTAGACAACAGAATAAAAAGGTAATGCGGAAATGTATTTTTACGTACAGGACAGGGCGCGGGCGGTCGCATTCTTTCAATTCTTTTTCTGTCATGCGGCAGTGGTCGTGTTACGAGTCTAATAACATGATTCAGATACTAGAAAAATGGTTATGTAAAAACATCATAACTAAACGATTGTAGATAAAATAATCAATAAATTTGCAACTATTTATGTAAGATGTTTTATTTCTAAATGGGTAATTTCGGGCGAAACCGCGACGGGTAACGCTAATGTATGTATAGGTGGTTTAAACCAATTCGGATAAATTTTAATTCAGTTTTTTTAAAATGTATAACCTGAATTTTATTAATACATGTAGGTACCTATTTCGCGGTGCTGCTGTATGATAAAGAAATAATCTTTTTTGCGTTAAATCCGTTTACTATTTGCTTAGCCAAAATTTGTTACATAAAATTTTATGTAATTGATCACAAGTGTTTGAAGTCCGGGATAATCTAGACGTCGAAATTTAGTGATAAGCAAGGATTTATGTTCCACGTTTAACGTGAAATTATGTTGGGAATAAAAGTTAGGTTTTACGTCTCTAAAAAGCTTACTTACCTACGTCAATTAAATTTTTTTTTTCAGTGAATTAGGAATAAAATAGATTGAAAAAATCACTTACTTTTGATTTTTCTGTATTGACATCGGTAACGGCGACTTTCTTGCCATTGACCGTAGCATTAATGACGAAACCATAATTCTCGCGTCCATTTTTGAACCACTCCCCAACTGTTTCAGTGAAATCTGTTTGCACCCATCGCCCTCTACCGATTGGTTGTGGTTCCTTCCAACTATGAACTTTGATTAAACCTGGTGGTTCTGAATGGTCACCCAATTTATACACCTAATATCAAAAGAAATGATAAAATTATCGTTCGTCCTAATTGACAAGGGTGTATTATTTTCAAGAGCGTTACCAAATTTTTAGTGTGTCCTACTTCCTGTTCTTACTTTTAAGTTGAAATAATTTGATCGTTTTGAATAGAACATCTCGTATATTTTGCCAATATAGAATAGTTGGCTTATGAATTTTTTCAAAATCCAAAATTCAACGTTCGGCTTTTTCATCTCACACTGATAGCTCACTGTGCCTCATGGATTCTAAAGAGAAAAACTCAATAAACCGTAAAACCAAAACAACTAGGTATCTCAATTGATCGAAATACACCTTGAAGCATACAAAAATTTAGCTCATTCTCTAAATGAATTGAAAAATACAAAATACCCTCGGTCTATTTGGGTCTAGATTACGAAGCGAAAATGCCAAAATTCTCAAATTAGGAAACTTGGTCTATCAGAGAAATACCGACACATATCTTGAAGGGGGTTCTGGTTAGTTTAATTCATGAAAAAAATATCAATTCAAGGGGAGAATAAGAAAACGATCGGCTAACAGCACTTTTACAACAACGAGCGCATCGGAGAAAGAAAGAAAAACAATTAGAGGAAGACCAAAGACAGAGAGAAAGACAAAAAGAGGAAGTTCCAAGACAGAAAGAAAGGTAAGAAGAAAAAAAGCGATGCAAAAAAAAAAACGGCAAAAAGAAGAAGCTCAGAAAGAAAAACAGCCGGTCGCAGCACTTTCTCAACACAAAATCCGAGATCCAAAGAAAAACAAGAATAGAAATACCGAAGAGAGAAAGAATCACAAGGACAGAAACTCTGAAGATAGAAAAAATGCGAGAAGAAGAAGCCCGAAGACAAGGAGGACAGGAACGGCTTCAGAAAAAATTCAAATTTCAGCAAAAAAGGATTCGAACCTTCATCTCTGAGGAACAAACCAGATTCGAGAAAATCCTGTAACGGCAAGATTATAAAATCAAGAATACAATGGGAGAAGTTGGAAGTGTCCTTCAGGAATTTAGAAATGTATATGAGGAAGTTGGAGCTTTTCGCCAAAAAATGCATAGTGTTCCAAAGAAAATTACTCCCTCCAGTTTTTCGTAAAATCCAGAATCAAAATAGTAGTTTTCCTAATCAGTGCGCAAAGTTATGTTATCCCGCACGCGAAAGCAGTTAGACGAACGACGCGAAGCGGAGTTCGGATAAGCTTTAAGTGCGGGAAAACTACTTTGCGCACGTATTAGGAACAATATTTTTTCTACGAGTGAATTAACTATACTTCCTTTTTAAATTTTTAATTTCTATAGGCATCAAAAACAATTTGTTGTAACTAAATGGGTATATCTAAATCGGCAAAAAAAAAATTCGGCCTCTCTCCGCGGGGCTTTGCCCCCTAAAAAAGGGGGCCCACAAGGCTGTGCCCCCCAAAAAAGGGGCTCCCGCGGTGCTCCGCCCCCCAAATATTGGGACCTCGCAGCCAAATATAGGGCTCCGCCCCCCAAAGATAGGGCTCTCGCAGGGCTTCACCCCCTAAACAGGGGCCCCCGCGAGGCTGTGCCCCTCAAAAAAGTGGCTTCCGCGGGACTCCGCCCCCCAAATATGAGGCTCTCGCAGGGCTCTGCCCCCCAAATAGGGGGTCCCCAGATTTTATTATGAGTACCAGAAAAAAAAGTGTGCGGGAAAAAAATTTCTTTGCGTACACAAACGTGTGCGCAAAGTAGTTACTTTGCGCACACTCGTAGAAAAAAAAAATATATCTCACAAACATCTACAAGGACACCCTAAGATTAAGTTTTTTGTCAACGAAGCAATGTAAAGGGGGTTTTATTAAAAGTTAACAGTTAGTTCAACCGTAAAAGTAGGAACAGGAGAAAAACAACTAATTTGAAAATTTTGTAATACTACCACAATCCTTATTCTTACCATAACATGACATCTACTGACCTTATAGATTTCAATCACCACATCCTGAGGACGTTCCGTACGCCTTTCAGCACCTCTGATAAAGATGTTTAGGGTAGCATTCGCCACATGAAACTTTGTTATACCGTCAGTAAATGGAAAATGAAGAATGTCATTGACTTTCCAACTATGCCGTAGCCGAGGATCTGAAACAAAAACAGAAATTATAATTAGTTAAAGTTGGCAATGTTGCAATCCCGAAACCATAAAGTTGGTCAAAATGATACATGCAAATAACTCTTGGCGTTCTTATCAAGATTCGTGTAAATTTTATTGGGGAAGTTGGGTTTCCGGATCTTATCGGCAAGTGCCATCTTTCGTTTTGCTTTCAACATGAAGGGTGAGTAATGACATAGGTCGTTGTGAATTAATTCTATAGTATCCTCCTACAATACTGTGTTAGTCAGTATGTGAGTAGGGTAAAAATTGAAAAAAAAAAGGACCAAGTTGTGCCTTTCGCGTGCCGTAAACTAGCATGTTACTGGCCACAAAACAATTATACATAATTGAAATGTTTAGTGTTTCTTAGAAAACCATATTATAGGCAACGATGGGGCTCCGCGTTTTAGAGTCGATTTATTTTGCATTTTTAGTTGAATGGTTATTAGTGAACGTTGAAAAAAAAAAGATAAAACATCGGGGTGGTCCAAATTATTATAATTTTTTTCTCTAAAAACGTAGGTACCTAATTCGATTATTAATTCGGCCTACTATAAGATTATGAGTTATTAAGCTTAAAACCAGCTGAAACCTATACTATGTAAGAATTGAATTGTAGTTACCTACAGTCAGGCGCTGGTGCATAAAGTCTGTTTTTTTTTTCAAGATAAAAGTCAAAATGACATTATGTTGGCAATACAATGTGAAATTGTCAATGCTTTCAAATTTTTTATGTAGACATTTTTTATGCAGAAAAGGCTTGTGTTGCCAACATAGTTACTAAATTTTTGACTTGGGGAATTATCAATAGTAATATAACTAGTGCAATGGAAATTATTGATAATTTTTGGGAAATTTGCCCGAATGCATTTTTAGTTGAAAAAGAGCAGGAGTGCACGTAGTGCACGAGTGCCTTTTTCAGTTAAAAACGCATGAGTGCAAATTTGTCGAAAATTATAAATATTTATAAGCGTGTACAATCAAACTCTACCAACAATGCTTATAAAATCTGATAAATAGAAACCGCCAATGATGAAACAAGTTCGGGTAAAGTCGTCGGTTGGTACAAAAAAAATACAGGAAAAATGGAAACAGTACTATTGCGTGTATTTATACATGAGTTAATTCAAGGTCAAATACACACCTAATATTTCCACTCAAATCCGTGTATTTCTTTATGTAGTACATGTAAAAATACATAAGAAAACACAGATGTAATGCGGGCTTAATGCTATTATTTCCCGAAAGAAGAACTCGATTAAAAAATGAAGTTTCAAGGATGATTGGATATTGTAATCGTAAACAAAGTGTGTGAGTTATCTACTGAACTTTACCCAAGCATCACCTGATCCAATCTTATAATAATAAATTCATAGATCAGGCACTGGGCACTGGGAATATGTAACGGATAGATAGTGATGCCGCGAGACTCAAGACTGGTCTCGTCTCGTCTCGACTATTCGAGGCGAGACTGGCTTTTGGTCTCGTCTCGTGAAGTCTCGACGAGCCAAGACCAGACTCGTTGAGAGTCTCGCATAGTCTCGAGTCTCGAGATTACAATTAAAATTTTTCTTTCATAGCTCTATTTTTGGACTATTCTGGGCTATTTGAATATGAAATCAGTAAATTTTAGTACTAACAATTAATGGGATGATTTCTACATACAATTTGTTTCACGAGGGTTTATACTTTTGACATAATTTACTTTCCTTTTTAAACAAATAGAAATTGACTGGAACAGAAACAAATCAATGACGTCAAAAACGTTCAGCGGTTCTTAAACCAGAAGTCATTGGGCAAGTTTTCAAAATCATCAACGACACATGCGCTTTTTCACCGATGTCATGCTGTCCTTGTCATTTGACAGTAGCAAAACAAGGATGGGTTACTCATCAAGAGAAATGCACACGAGCAAATGGTGAATTTAAAAACTTGGCCGTTTATTTGAATTTGTCAAAAAAATTGAATGTGTCATATGAATTAATCTAAGTTATGACGTCTTCGATGTCAAAGTCTGGAGTCTCATGCATCCATTTTCCGACGTCCGATGTCCGAAAAACCTTCTATTCTGACATAATCGTATAAAAATATGTCAAAATAGAAGGTTTTTCGGACATCGGACGTCGGAAAACGGATGCATGAGACTCCGGCTAAAAGTGTAAACCCTCGTGAAACGAACTTTACCTACTTAATTTTTAAATTCCACTTTCGGTTTAGCCAGTAGGGAGATCAATTTAAAAAAAATGTTTAAAGCATAAGCACTTTCAGCTAAACTGGAAGTTAGATCCGAAGATAAAGTATGTAGAAAGTATCCCATTAATTCACAAAAAAATCACCTACAGGGTGATTCTTTTTTCAAAAACTGTTTTGTCCGACTTTTTTTTTCTATTTGATGTTCATATTTTTCCAAATATCATGGTTACTATTTACTGTGATTTTTCACTCTTTGAATAACTGCTTTTTCACTGTGGAGTTTGGAATTCCGTTATAATATAAAAATAAAAACCATAAATACAGGGTGTTCGAAAAATAGCGTAAAAGCTCTCCACGTAGTAGGGGACCCTTTGAGAAACCCTAGAAAAATAATACAAAAAATCCTTCTCCAGCATTATTCTTGGTAATATAAAGAGGTAAATGTGGAGATTCACCTTCGGATTCTACAGATAATTACATAAGTATTTAATTTAATTTTCTGACATATTGTCAACGGGATATTCTCAATGTTGCCAATTCTAATAAATATTAAAATGCAAATTACTTTCTTAAGAATGCCACTAGATTTTTTAAATTATTTTTCTAGGATTCCTTGAAGGGTCCTCCATCACGTAGTGAAGAGTTTTTACGCAATTTTCCGGACACCCTATATAACTCGAGACCAGCGTGACCACTCGTGACGAGACGAGATTTTGGTACTCGAGACCGAGACTAAGTCTCGACATCTCGAGACGAAACGAGACCAACCTTAAGTCTCGTCTAGTCTCGTCTTGCGGCACCACTACGGATAGAGATCGTTATCTCTATTGCTATGGCACTTGCTGTCTTCTTCTCTCTTTTCGAAATCAATAGAGAACGGACGTCAATAGAAATAGAGAAAATATCTCTATTCATTACATAGTTCCAGGGCTGGATTTCCAAGTACTGTAACTGGCGGTGAGAAAGCCCTTCATTCTTAGTTGCTCGAAATTCGCTCTCTTTTGACATTTTGACGTTTTATGCGTGTATCAAACGTCAAATTGTCGAAGCAATGGGTCCTCGGATTGAACGTTTACGTTAAAATTAACACAAACTTGTTGTGTTATGCTAACAGAGAATAGATAACATATAAAATAACAGTAGATTTTATATCAGTCTGATTGACGAAATCGATAATAGAAGATGTCGAGCTGGCTGTTAGGAATGGAAGAAAGTATTTGTAGCTGCCCTGGGTGTTGGACCCCAAAAAAAATCTGATGAGTGGACATCATTTGTACACGAAAATAAAGCATTACTACAGTCTATTTTTTCCCAAGATAGATTTTGACAATGACAACTTTGAAACATAAACAATGCCGCTTATTGGTCGCAAGATGCCGTGTACCTGCATTCGACGAAGGTATCATTTTCCGACCATGTAAAAGGATACCTCACCTGCAAGGACACGGCATTTTGCGACCAATCAGAGCCGCGCGGTATTGTTTATGTTTCAAAGTTGGCAATGTCAAAATCTTTCTTGGGAAAAAATAGAGTGTAGAACCACTGCCTCATATAAAATGGAGAACAGTTTCAACTATACTAAGAATTCAGAATAAACTTTTAGAATTAAGACCTTCAGTTCAACTGGAATGGATGAAATCATTGGTCTTTGAGGAATATTAAAATGGGGCCTTATTCTTGCAATTATAAACTGCACCGATTCTTTTGGAACTTTTGGAAGTCTAGTAAATTTAGTAATAAAACCTCATCAGGAGTTTCAATTGATCTCTGATATGCCTTCTTTGAATGTTCAATTCCGTCCTTAAATAGTGAATTAATATCAAAGTCTTGTACCTCATAATTGATTAACATAAAATAGTGATGAAGTTTATAACTAAGGTACCTCCTAGTTTGATTCTCTTCTTGTATTATGTAAATTATTTTACTCCGTCATTCAAAATAGGATCTCTAAAAAAATTAAAAAAAGCATTGGTAACATGAACGTTAAGCACTTAACGGCATGTTATTCGGGGCTGTTGAGGCGATATGTTAAAATAGAACATAACAGGCGGGTAATAACAGTAATCTGTTATGAAAAACTTTCGATCATACGAATTGGCATCGTTGCTGTTAAAACTCGGCCTAAAGCTTACTTTTCATGCATCCGTTTATCCGTCAATTCGTTGATCCGGAAGTATTCCTATTGGTCCAATATTCTGGCGCCCAAATATTGGACCAATAGGAATACTTCCGGATCAACGGATTGACGGATAAACGGATGCATGAAAAGTAACCCTAACATGTACGTACGTTACGGATAACGTAAATGTTCAATCATAGGACCCAATGTCTTTCTTTGAATTGCCTACGGTCGATAAAAACAAATCCTTCTCTACAAGGTTCATTGCAAGAATTTTCAGATGAAGACTGATTGGAGAACCGAATTCCGTCATAATCTAAGTAACGCCTATCTCAATTTTGTCTACTATATCCTCTTTTCCAGAAATAATTGATCCCCTTCTTCTTCGTCTTTAGCCTGTTATCATCTATCTTTGAATATACCTAATCCTCTCTAGCTCTTGAACAACTTCTCTCCAGTGTACTCATGATGTTAATTTGAGATAGACGATTCGTTCCATCTGTGGTCTGCCTCTTGATCTTTGACAAGTGTTAAATTAATGAAATTTCATTTATTTCGTTTTTTTTTTGTGAAAGTAAGTAATAATTTTTCTAAATTTTTTTTCCACATTTGTCGACCATTCTTGAATAAAATGATTCGCCTTCAATTTTATATCTTCAGTTTTGTTTTCATATT